AGCTTCTCTCACGCCCCTCGCTTGTTTGTGTTCATTTATTTCATTTTGTTGCCAATTTGTGAGCAATTCAATGGAGCTAAACTAATTTAGCAAATTGATTAGAGACCCAGCCCCTGCTTAAACTGGCCCAGTTCGCTTACAAGCCATTGAAATCCAAATCAAACAAATGCGGCAATTATATTTTCATATGCGAGGCACACGACCAGGACACACGCATCGGGCTCGGACGTGCGTCAATTAGGAGCTGGCCTGGTGGTTGCTCAGCGACGACGCCCGCTGCACACGCCCAAAGAAGAGGCGGCGGCCACGTGGCCGTTGCATTGTGCACTGAGTCAATAGAGGTGAATTTGCTCGGCGGCCTGGCACAGGGTGCGCGTCTCATTAGCGTGGAAACAGGTAAAAGCGGGCTCGACTCTGGCCACGTGGCAGCTGCGAGCCCCCGGACTGAAAATGTTCGTCGTGTTGTGTCACCACAAACAAATGTTGCGCCGCTGACCCAATTGCCACGCTGGGGTCATGATAATTTCAGGAGCTTTGGCTTTGTTGTAATTCGTGCGGCCGTCGATCGTGAGCCAGGGCTTGGGCGCTCCTTTGGCCCCAGCACAATGACTGCGACTCCAACTTCAACGCCAACTGCACGTGGCCCGCCGGTGGCGCCACAGAGAGCGTTGCTCCTGACATATGCAAAACGGCTGCCATAACTGGCCGATCGACTGTGCCACAACGCGACATTTGCGACGTTTCTTATACCCTGAACCCATTGAAAATGAATAAAAGGGGTATAAGGATTTTTTGTAAATGTATGCAACCGGCAAAAGTAATTCCCCACAACATGAATAATAGTATTTATATGCTTGATCAGCGTTGATCTGTTTATCGCTTTAGTCCTGGCTAGAGATTTGCTATTTGAATTATATACTCTCGTATATCAAATGAGGAACGATTCTTTTTGATATTTCCTCATATTTTCATTATATCGATTTTGAGACCTAGTCTCTCAGGCATAACCCGAAAATTATAAGAGCTAGATATTCCAAACTTGGTATGAGGACTTTCGCACGCCCCCATTCCATCCAAATCTAAGTTGAAGAAAATTCTGCTTGAAAGATATAGCCTTATTATTTGGTATATAGACGCAGCTGTCATATTTGGGCACTGAAAATTTCACAAAGATCGGACTCTAAGCACCAAAGCTTTTTATTCAAGAATGCATTATCCACACTGCCTGGCTGTAGGATGATGCAGATAGAAGTAGGTTCAAGGTATTTTCTAGTCGGATAGACTAGCTAGAGCACTTTTATTTGTTTTATGGCTGAATTTTTCTCGGGTATTGACTGCGATTTGCATAGAAATCAAAGTGCAGGCAAAACTGAGCCCATGAAAATCTGTCAGCGGCCACCAGATTTATGGCAACGGCTTCAGTTGCGCCAATGTGGGCGTCACATTATGTTGCCACAAGAAATGTGGCTTCTCGAAATAAAGGAAAATCGATACGCGCGCGGAAAAGTCTACAAAGCGTCTGCGTTGCACGTTGCCCTCCTCAACTGCCCCAGTCAGCTCGATGGGGAGAGGGGGCTGCATACATTAAAAGTCTGCAAAAGTATTCAAAATGGCCGCCTTCAAAAAGTGAGCGACATGCGCAAGAGAGAGCGCCAGAGAGCGAGAGAAAGTGCGAAGAGAGAGAGAGAGAGAGTTGGAGTCTCCACAGTGGTTGCCAGGCAACGCTTATGACCCTTGGCTGGGGGTTGCTTGGCGCCCAAGGGGGTTGTCGTAGCTGCCTTCTGTCTGGGCACGACGGGAACATAAACGCTGGGAATCGATTGCAGTGGACACCAGATGCAAGCTATTTCGTTGGCTCAAACGATTTGGTACGGTTTGATTGGGTCCCACTAGCTGCAATGCCTATATCGGATAACTGAACCCTATATCAAACCCACTTTAACCACCTTACAATGCTGTCTAACACCACTTGACAGCTTTTGGCAGGGTAGCCGTATGGCCGGATGGCAGGGTGGCGGCAACAATCAGTGCACGTGACCGACACACGAGCCGATGTTCTGCTCATTAAGAAAGGCTGACAAGCGTTTTTCTCGTCGCGATATGATCAACAAAATGCCAAATCTCCCGAACAACAACAACAACCCTCCTTTAACAACCTTTAAGCGAAACCATCAACCCACCAACCCACCAACCCACTGTGATTAAGTCCACTAAGCTGTTGTTGCACAGTGGGAAAGTCACGCCAGTGGCATGTCACAGACTCCTTCCCAACTGCAACAGTTTCCAGCTCATTGCATTTCATCACGCTTCGTATTTGTCTACTTTTCTTTTGGGCAAGGCCTAACGATATTCTTTACGATCTTGTAACACTTAAATGCTTGGAGTTAAATGATCCATGGTCCGACCTGTGGATCTTATAGAAAGAAACTCCGGAGTTCTATAGATTGTATTAATTAATATTTTTTTATTGATTGATCATGAATATTATTACTATTTTAATTACTATTATTTTGTGTATTGGCTAAGACAATGCTAATTCCAATCCGGATCCTAGTTGCTTATTCACTTGGAATTACTTTTTAGCCATGTTTCCCGATTCTGTCAAGTTATCAGCTGGGGATCTGGTCTAGGTTTATTATGTCTGTGTTGACATACTCATCATAAAAAACTAGGGACCTTTCCAAATCAATAGCTTAATTGGTTTCAACACTTAAGGAAATATCTTTCATCTAATTTTGAAGTGTACGAGCGCTTCGTGTTGACTTTCTAGTGAGCATTTCCTTTGGTTTTGCATGCTGGTTCATGGACTACTCGTAGTCTTGTATCCTCGGACCACGTAATCATGTTACGACACACACAACTGACATCACAGTTTCAGCAAAAGCGATTAATATCGCACACGACACGGAGCTGGGCAGGAGCAAGACTCCAAGCTCCAGCTTCAGCTCCCACTACGAGTATCATTTGCCTTCGTCGAGCATGCGCACATGACTCCAACTTTGACGCTGAGTCTGACTCTGAATTGGGTTTCATATGATGCTGTCCATTGTTGTTTGTGGTGCTGTTGATGGTGGTGGTGGCGGTGGTAGCCGGTGGTGCTGCAGGCGGGCCAAAAGATTCGTTTAAAATGACTTAATGGCAAACAGCTCATAAATTCACGAATTTGCATAAACCGACTCGACTATTTGGGCAACATTGCAACAGCAGAGAGGGAAGCGCCCCCGGGGCACATCACAGCCAGCTCGAGCGAGTGAGTCAGCAGCGACGGCAGCAGCAGCAGCGGCAGCTGAAACATGAGCTAGACCTGGAGCTGTTCAGCTCTTGTGACTGGCAGCCTAATAAACACAATTAACTTCATCATTTTGAACTCAAATTATTTCATTTCAATGCGATAAAATCGCAAATCACGAAGCGGCAGCCAAAAGCTGCGGACAAGCCAGAGCCAGCGCCAAAGCCAGATCCAAAGCCAGAGTCAAAGCGAAAGCGGCTCTGGCCAAAACGATACAAACCAAAGCCCACAGACAATAGAGCCAGACACAGATTCGACCTGGCCAGGACGGTGAAAATTAAGTCAAACTCTGGCTGCAAACATTTTACCAATCGCTCGACCAATCGAGCCGATCGGGACTGGGACTGGGCCTGTTGCAACCGCAGCCGCACCACCCGCAACGGGGATTCGAGCCACTTTCAATTGTGGTGGGCGCTCTGCAGCTGCATCGGGAATGGGCTTAGGGATGGCCTTTTGGCTTGGGCACCGAGCTTACCAAGCTGGGTCTGGTTGGGTCTGAAGGTAGAGAATAATGTTGCATGTCGCGCCAATTGTGTACACGATTTGACTTGGCAGCCGCCTGACAGTGCTGCCCACTCCGATGTTGTTGTTGCTGTTGTTGTTGCTGCTGCTGCTGCTGCTGTTGTTGTTGCTGTTGCTGTTTGTGTGTCAGCTAATCAGCTGGCAAGTATCTCATCTTCGAGGACTACTAGCAACTGCCAAAACAACAGCGAAACAGCAAAACAGCCAACATGCACACGAAAAACTACCAAGTCATGTTGCCTGCTGATTGTTGTTGCTCCTGCTGCAGTTGTTGTGATTGTTATTGTTGTTGTTGTTGTTGTTGGTCCCGCAAATAAATCTCTTGGGCATTGCTGCTGTTGCCTGCTTTTGCCACGGCACCCAAAAACTTGGACACAACACAATCAGCCAGCAGCCAGCCGTGTGTTGCTGTTGCTGTTGCAGTTGTTGTCGTTGTTGTTGGTGTTTCCTGGAAAGCGTTTCCTGCATTTAGCTTTGTTAGTTTGCTTTATAACTATGTTGGCGCTACAGCCCGTTGCAGCGCATTTTTATACCCTATATACCCATTATAAAATAGGATGAAAAGGGCATATTGTCACTACAATCTAGCTTCTCCATATCCTTTATTCTCAGCATAACTCAAGCATTTTAAGAACTGGAGACACCACTTGTAGTTGGTTTGTCATAGGGTTCAAGTCTAAGTTAAGAGAAAAATGAAGCACAGCCACAATATGTTAGGGCAACTTGTAGGCACAGGGTATATGCATGTCAAGCATTCGTGGTTAGAGCACCTTTACTTGTTTGTGCTGATTTAGATCGTGTCCACCAACGAATCCGGCTGGCAGTTGACTTTATGAGGGTCAATCAGGCTAACCAGAGTAGTCGCAACTGTCCAATCCCAGGAATGCGATCGTATCGAAACAGCAGGCACAGGTCGAACATTTCTTAAATATTAAATGTCCTACACAGTTGAGTTAGTCGGAGAGAGTTGCTTGGACTACATAAGCCTAAATCATAAACAAAAAGTGTTGTATAAAAATATATCACAAATAATGCACGCTGGGCTTTGGGGGAATTATAATATTAAAGTATATTATAACAAAGGGGATGATCAGGGGCTTGGGGATTTTAAAAAAGTTCTATAATACCCAGTTGACATTAGAGCTCAGACATACTCACCTAAAATGATAGGAAGGAACAAGGAAATATTCGATTTTTTCTTTCTAGACTTTTCATTTTAAACTTTTAAGTCAAGTCAGACACATTAAATTTTAGTTTCGGCAAAAAATTGAAAATTTTCCATTTAGCCCATCTTTTAAGATTTTAGCGATATGGCCAAGTACTGTGAGGCTCTCTCCCATCTGTCGCTCATCGGCGCGTGTTGCTATGGAATCTACGCACTGACACCGGCTGAACACCCGTATGGATATACGGCAGCCGCATTCTGTTTTGTCCATGGACTGCTGTCGCTCGTGCGTTCCCTGGGGGAGGATGAGGAGTGCGGTCCTGCGCGCTCCTTTTCTGTGTCGACGGGCATTGTGGATGTTATACCTCTTCCGCTGGCCAATATTGAATTCTACTTGCAATCCTCCCAATCAGGCATGGCCTTGGTGCACGCCCTGTCTCTTATATTGCTGCTCTATGATATGATGGGCAGCTTGGGCGATGACTGGGATCGTGCCACGGAGACGGTTAAGGATCTATCGCTGCTGGGCAATGTTGCATCCGGCGCATATCTGGGCGTACAGGAAGAGAACTATTATCACGTAGGCGTGGCAGCATCCGCTGGCATTGCCCGTTACGGCTCCTCGCTGGTCAGCACAATCGTGCCGGCCGCGGGTCCCCATGTGAATACATTGAGCAAGGCAGCAATTATAGGGCTAATGACGTACTCCCTGACCAACAAATGATTTCAATTTTTAATATCCATACATAACATGTGCAAATATCATCAGATGATTAAATGGCTATAATTTTAGATACAAAAAAATACTTAAGTAAGCTGTTTAGTGGTTAAAGGCCGAAGCTCTTTCACTAACACAGTTGCTGCCACCCAGAAAATGGTCTATGATCTGCCCACTTTTGCTTTTTTCAATGACTGACGCTTGCAATTCCCAACAAGTTACAGGCTGTCGAGTGTTCTGTCTTAGCTATACAGACAACCTGTTCATTTTTCGCTGTTTCTATCTTGTTTGTTGTTGTTCATTATTTATATAAGAAAAAGCTAATAATACTAATTAATAGGAGTTGGAAATTCACGGGTATTTCTTCTAAAGATCATCTACTACCAACTACTGCTGGCAGTTTCGGCACTGATTAGGCTAAATGACTGTCGAGATAACCGCCTGGCTTGGCGCATTCCTGTAGCTTTCCAAATGGTGCCCCACTCCCACTCTGGCACTGCCACTGCCACTCCATGAAGACAAAGGAAACTGGGCAACTGGCAGCCGCCGCTGCGCAGGCGCGTGTTTGGCAAGAGTTCAAGTCACAGCTGGAGACTGCACTGCTTTTGGCGCATAACTGGACACAACTAGCGGACAGGCAGCTGGAGACTGGAGGCCGCCTGGCCTGGCCTGTCTGTCTCTCTGTCTGTCTGTCTGTCCCTGTGGCCGTGTTGGATAACAGGCAGCTGAGAGCCTTTGGCCAGCTCTTTGGCCATAAAAATGGGAAAATGTTGCGTTAATGCGACGTTTGTTCGAACACAGTTTTCAAACAGATCGACGCAGGCAATTGTTTGGACAGGCTCTGGCTAGCTGTGGACAGACAGACAGATGGATGGCTGGCTGGCTGGCTGGTTGAATCGTTGCAGTTGGAGCTGCAGCTGGCGGGCTGGTGGGGGCCACTGTTATACACGACTTTGGCTTTGCCTTCGTGTAGACATTATTTTGGGGCGTTTGACTCATGAACTACGCGCAGTTTGTTTGCGCAGATTTTTCGCACGTGTTTGTGGTCCCCAGTTGGAACACTTGGAATTTCTACAACGGGAGCGGCTCTCACTTCTACTGCGCAGCAATGGCGGCCAGCCGAGGCGCCTCCCATTGCCGTGGCAAGACGTCGACAAAGCGGGGACGGTGGCAGCAATCGATTTTCCCAATGTGATAAGGTTTCAACTGCGGCTGCTTTATGGGCATCCGGCCAGCGAACGAATCCTTTCAAGCCGCACACGTGCATGCACTGCCGGGCCGCATGAAGGGTAGCTACGCAGCGACAAAAACAACACGAAACACGTGTCACGCGGCATCAATTGAAAGCCGCGACTGCTGCAACATCCATCAAGGCACGTCCGGAAATCGGAAGTGCGCCCCCTCCCACTAGTCCTGCCGCCGCTGCTGCTGCGAGGGTGGCTACACCAATGTTGATGATGTCAGCATGCGGGCAACAAAAAGGACAATCGATTGTTGTGACATTGCATTGTGTGGCAGCAATAGCGGCAGCAGCTAAACCCCTGCCTGCCACATCTCTCTTCAGCAATTTATCCAATTTTATGCCGTTGCCAAGCTGCGTTGCCTCAATTAACGCTGTCCAGTGGAACGCTGAGACGCACAGCGTCTCCACTGGCTGCTCCCACGGCTCTCGTCGCCGTTGTCGTCGTCGTCGTCGTCGGCGGCGGCGTCGCGCTGCGTGCACGTGCAGCGCAGGACATTTATTGGATTTTTGCCATGTTTTTATTTGTTTCTATATTTGCTCAGAATTCCAATTAAACGCCAATGCCAATGTCTGGGAATGGGATTTGGGATTCGTATGCAGAATACAGGGTGTTTTTCGTTTATTGAGAAGTTACTTGGAACGGGGTATTATAATGTGATATTCAATCAAATAACAGCTTATCGAAACTCTTTATAATTAAATATATATTTAGAAGAATTAGGTACAATTATATACTATATCTTGCAAATCTATGGTGTCATAGTAAAAATATATGTACAGTAAAATATATATTTGAAAGTTTTAAATTCAAGTATATATTGTATCATAATATATCTTATCGATATATGTTATAAAGTTCGATTATAGTAATACCATTGTATTTATATATAATAGAGGGTATTACTTGTTTCAGTTCTCTACACATTTCCTTTTCATGCGAAATTGATATCTACCCAGACTATCTTAAGCCATTGACTTGGGATTTTAGTAAAATTTCATTTGCTAGTCAAGATATTTCAATAAGAGATACAAATTAAAAGAAATCACTTATCATCATTAGACAATGAATGAATTTATATAGAATTATATTTTAATTTTTCTATATATATCTGCAAAGATAGCTGATAATAACTACTCCACCAAGTTTTTCCTTATACTGAGATGTTTACAAAAATGAAACTGTTCTTTAAACGGAATTGTTCTATTCAATTCCGCGTCATTTAATTTGTAAATTTGTTGTCCCCTTTTTCTGCTAACTTTAAGACCTTTCAAGTAATTTCTATGGCAGCTGAAGACCTAGCAAAGAAATGTCCATTCTTAGGGCTTCCTTAAATAGGGGTCTGCGACGACACCCTGTACTCAATTAAAGTTCTGCCATTTTAAGTAGCGCAAACGGCAATTGAATGACGCGATTCCGATCCCGACTCCGACTCCACCCCAATCAGCTGCAACAACAGCAACAACAACGGGTGGCAACATGGTGTAAGGGGGGGGCATCAGTTTGAGGCACACGCTGCGGATTAGACGTGTAATCAGCATAAAATGTTGCCAGAGTCGGGTGCGACGTACACAAAAGTGGCAAACATGAAATCCAATATGTGCGATACGGCGGCAACGGCCACATGAAATTGTAATAGCGGCCAGCGGCCATGTCGATGATGACGATGCCAACGACGCTCGTACGCATGTCCCTATACAAACACAGATGCAGCCAAAGCTACAGCAACAGCTAAAGATACAGATACAGATACGCACACAGATACAGATACAAATGCGAGTGCGAGTGCGAGTGCGAGTAAGGAGTAGAGCGTGGAACACGTGCAAAGCCGCGGGGGACTTGCACGACTTTTGTGACGAGGCGAGGCTGAGCCAGAGCAAGAGCCGGAGCTGGAGCTGGAGCTGGGGCTGGAGTCGGGTCTGGTATCTGAAGCTATAGCTGGACTTGGGCTGGGCCACGCACCCAGAAAAACAAAATCTGCAATGCGCGTTGCCTGTCGCATTTAATAACTGTTTTTAATAAGTGTCCCTTGCGGCCATGCGTTGTGCCGTGCCACGACGCGTCGTTTGCCAGCGTCATTTGCATGAGCGCCGCCAAACCCAAAATCAACCCGCCACCCCTCCGCCCCATATGCCACACTACATGCCCGATTCCCGATTGCCAGTTCCAGTCGCACTCCCAGTCCCAGTCGCAGTCGCCCAAATATGTTTTACTCTCGTACTCTAATTGCACGCCCCGTTTGAGTCAGCGCGCTCCTCAGGTGCAGGCCGTTGGGGCAGTCGCCGCCGCCGCCGCGTGCAACATGCAACATGTTGGCTGCAATTTATTAGTGCTGCCATTATCGTTTTTCTTCAGATTTAGCTGCTGCCCCCTGCCCCACACTTTGTGCGGCTGCGTGTCGTCTGCTTCTCCAGCTGCAGCTCCTCCACTTTGCACAATTCTCAATTCTCAGCCTGCAAATATTTATTACTATAATTTTCCATATGTTTTCCCTGCATTGCGTTCGGCTTGTTGGCGTTTTTTTCTTCTTTTTTTTCGGCAAATTGCGCCTGGAAATTGCCGCCATAATTTGTTGCTTACTAAATATGAAGATCAACCAGTTCCCCAGTCTCCCTCCGGTTCCCAGTCTCAGTCTCCCCTCCCCCCAGTTGCCAGTTGCTAGTCATGATCCGCACGATCCATAGCTGTGTCTGCATCTGCGTCTGTTTTGTTTCCCCCAAAATTTATTAACTTGTGCAAAATTAGTCGTTTTAGTCGTTTAGTCGTTGCAATTTGATTTTTATTGCGGCTTGTAAATTGTAGCGCCATGTTAGAGCTGTGTATCTATGAGATATATTTTGCGAGCACTCGCATCCAGCAATTAGTTGACGTCTCTCTCTCCCTCTCTTTCTGTGTGTGTTTCTGTCTCTCGTTCTGTCTATGCTAACGACTTTTTATTAGGTATCGTGGCACTGAAATTGTTGCACTAATCAGCTGACAATTTATGAGGCATTTGTATTTGGTTAACAGCAAAAAAAAAAATAAATGTTGCCTTGTAGTACATAAAAAGCCTCGGACAGGGTATCCGAGGGTATCCAAGATTGGGAATTAGTCGAGCTATGCAAAGCATGTGGCGTCCATAAAGCAGCTCAAGAACTTTGATTAGTTGTAATCTTAACCAGCTGCATCGTAAAAACAAGCAAAAGAATGCGCTACGGTGAAGTATGCTCGACTTGAAGATACCCTGCCATGGGCCTATTTTGGTTATTTGAGGAGTTCTGAGTTATATACATGATTTTAAATAATCCTAATACAACTCTTATATCTTGTATCCCTAATGAGAAGGTATATTAATATGCTTAACAGCTTCTGAGCTGCAGTCTCTTGGCTGTGACATACAGCTCTCCTGTTTGATTATACCCTCTTTAACTCTTTTATGAGCACTGGATATAACAAGCTGCTTGAGCATTTTTAATTACAAGTGCCGTGTGTGGGCCCAGTGACAGGCCCTTTTAATAGCGCTGGTTCAGAGACTGCGAACATCTCTATAAATTGACATCAAACTGCATTTAATGTCAACCGAATTGGTATTTGTGCTGGGAAGGGCCAAAGACTTGGCAACATTTTGTTGAGCTTCTCAAAGATTAAGTATTTTTGAGATTTGTGCGTTTAAAGCGAATCGGTTTGATTCCGTTTTTATAAGTTTGTATTTACCATGAACCCAACTTGGGTAAAGAACAGTCGGATCTTATCCTTAAGAGAGTTGCTTATTTAAAACAAAAGGGTTGGTTCAAAAGTATAACAACAAAGAAATGGATACTAAATGAGCGTTAACAAGAAAACTCACAATTTGTCCTGTCAGTCGTAT